GGTAAAATATCTTAGAATTCTATAAGTTCATTAAAATATGAAATATATGTTAGATAGTCACATTTAAAAAATCGTTATTAAAATCACTGAAAATAAATAATATTAGAAAACTTTAAAGCTGTGCTCAACAGATTAAACTAACTGGTCTAATTCAAACACACAAAAATAATCTTTATAAGAAGAAATGACCAATGTACCTTTGATGAAATCCAAAAACAACAATCCAGTGAGATAAAAAAAATATTAAGAATATCAAACAAAATAAGATCAAAGAAGACACGATCTTAGGTTGTAACTTGATCATGAGCGAATTTGTTGATGTTGCACCCACGAAGTATGGAAAGTGCATGGTGGATTCACAATCCACTGCCTTGATCCACTTGGCTACATCCGCCCGCTACGCACCTTCTAGGCTTGCTTATCGCCACTTAAGAAATAGTTCTGCCTTCTAGCCAAGCCTTAAAATGTTAAAATTTCAGTTAAAAGTAGTAATTATCTTAGTATCAATTTTGGTACCAGTTATTTTTAATAGGAACTTTTGAGGTTTTTATTTTCAGAAATTAAATAATTATCAGCAATAATGACAATAAGTAACAGTAGTGTAAATTTTTTTTTCAAAAATAATATAATTAAGCAATGTTTTTATCCATGATATATAATTAATCTTATAGTTAATTATATATCATGGAATACAACAAATGTCGATCTATTTATCAGCATTTTCAAATAAATTTCACATCAAAATTATTTTAAATATTAAGTATATAGTAAGATATTACAGTGTAGTATTTTGTGTGTTTAAATAAATATCTTAGTCGATCTTATTATCTGAACGTAATATGTTTCATTTTTGTTTAACAATTGTTCTTTGAACTGATCAACAACGAGAGAACAAATGATACATATTTTATAAAAAGCAGAAGATAAATCATCTATCACATAGTTTACTTAGCTGTAATGATTTTGAGGTTCAATTTACTGAAATTCTATATAAAGCGATTTCACATATGTAATACCTTACAAAATATATAATTTCATTTTTGAAACTGAAAAAAATTCATATCGAATACTTAATGAATCCATTTGCAGCGCGAAGCACTACTCGACCCTAGTTTCGTGGGATCTAAGAACATCTGCAAAGATGCAAACATATGTGAGTACTTGACCAAAATAATATTAGAAAAAAAGAAGAGTATAAGAAAGATAACACAACACTGGAGAATCGCTTGGTTGGAAGAAATTTTTACCAGATTCTGAAAGACCAGCACACCACTTATCATGTTTTTACTTGTTCAATTTTTTTTATATTCATATGAAAATAAATAATAAAGGTATTTTAAAATATAAATATAATAATGATAAGAACATTTTCTAGAGATATCCTTACTAATGATGCTCTAGGTATCTTGATCAAATCCCTCTAGATGTAGGTAGTAGGCGAAGACAGAACCGGTCATGAGCATAGAGATAAAAAATGATTTATGACTCTTAATGTTTTAAAGAAAATTACATAAAATAGGGTCTTAATATTTTTCTTAAAAAATATTGAAACCGTTACTAAATTTTCTATGGTCCCTAAAATTTCATAGTCAGTCCTGAGCAAGGACCCATGCTTTCAACCAATGTGACATGGTATCACAGGGTTTGGCTCTGTTAGCTATATATATCTTTGGAAGTACGATCACATTTTGTTGGGAGAGAAAATCTCAATTAAAAATATAAAAAAGAAGAAAATCTAATGTCCTTGATTTGAACTTGCTGTCTTTCTGTGATCGTCAAATAAATGGTGAATTTCATGTGAGAAGTTTTGTAAGATACATAAAGATAGTTAACAATCAGGGGCGAAGTCAGGTAAGATACTATGGGGGCTTGTGCACCAGTAAAGTTTGTTATCTCTATAATAATATTTGAGAAGTCATTTTCTTATGTGTCGCGCTCACGTTAACTCTCACGCTGGTTAATTACTATGATACCCTTAATGAATTAAAAATATATTTAAATATTATTATTTCCTTTTTAAAGTCTTCCAAATAACAATATAAAACAAAAAGGAAATATTTATAAAATTTACAAAACTATTTAAACGAAAATAAGTATATATATAATATATTTTCATAAAAAAGGAAAGTTTACAAAATAGTAATATTTAACTTAAATATATTTTTAAATAACATAAATTATACTTTTTAAGTTAGTATATTTTATATCTATATTTTCTTAGATGAAAACAAAATATTTGTATATAATTTGTTTTCATAAAAAAATTTCATACAAATAATCTTGATATTAGAAAAAGAAATAGTTTTTCTTTAAAAAATAATTTAAACAATAAAATATATATTTTCCAAGTAATATTTTTTGTATATATCTATCTATTTTATTAGATGATTACATAAAATAATTAAGTAACATAAACTGATACATGTTTAATTGATAAAAAATTTTATAATTAGTATATTTATTTGATTATAATATCTTACAGTTACAGCAAAAAATATAAATTATATTTTACTTATATAATATAATTTCTCAAAAACAATCACATTTTCAGATTTTAAGAGATATTAAAAACAAAACTAAAAATAAATTGAATAATAAACATCTTTTGATCAAATAACTACAATTCTTTTAAAATATAATAACACTATATAATTTAACGAGGTATATATATATATATTATATTTTAATAGTTAAAATTATCTGTTTTCTTAATAACTCTTTTGATGTTTAATTTTTTGTTTTTATGTTTGTGGAATTTAATATAACCATAATTAAAATACTTAAGCAAATCATAATTTCTTATTTTTAAAATTATTTAAAATTAATTTCAGTTTACTATCCAATCAATCTAAGGCATAAATTATTTAAAATTTATAAAATATTTAATTATTGTAAATATTGATATGTGTTCATAAGCTTCCAAAAATTTATTATTACTTATGTATGTAATTTAGAATCAGCCATTTTAGTTTTTATTTTTTCGTTCTAAGCACAAAAAATCTTAAAATACATAATCTTACTAAGATATACTTATATTTCTAAGATAACAACCAACATAAATTTAAATAAAACAATTAATCAAAAATTTAAGGTATTTAGAGTAAAAAATATTATAGTTGAATTCAGAGAAATAGATAGAATCCAATATATATATCCAAATGATAAAAGTGACTAAATATAATATATCTAAAATTATATATAACTAAAATAATATAAATTATACATAAAAACTAGAAATTAATATAAAAATTACAGTAAATATTAATCAACTATTATAATATATTTATTTTATAAATATTTATGTCCGTGCATGAGCACGGGAAAATCACCTAGTATATCGTAATTGTCATGTTAATAATCAGAAAAATTCTGTTAGAACAGATGGAAAAGTAGTATTGTGCACCCATGACAAATCCGACTTCGCGTCCTCCCAGACTGTTTTCATTTTATGACTAACTGTGCACCCACTACATTAAAATCCTGGATTCGCCCCTGGTTACAACCGATCAATGAACATGCAAGAAGAGATAAATCCCTCTCGCGACTTCGAAAAGTTTAAATAACTAGGAAACATTGCATACTAATGTCATCCAAAAAATCAAATAGATCACCAATGACCAATAAAATAATTCCAACTTGGATACTACCTTCGTATTAGTTAATCTGGTTAACGATGAAAAATTATCTGTAATGACTGATAATTTGTTATCGTTATTTCAAAAAAGAAAAGGTTTGTTTTACCAAAAAAAAAGCATGGTATAAGGATGATGAAAGCGACGTTTTAGTAACTAATACATGATATATCTAATACATAATATATGAAATATGATGGTGTATGTGTATATAAAATATATGACTGTGTAGTACAACGTATATGATCAATTATCTATTATGAACGTATTTAAAATGAAAAAAAAGTGTACTATATAGTATAGATACATAATTTAGTTACATCGAGGATGCAACGAAGTTTCGAAACTCGGATACTCATATATAAAGAAAAAAAGGACACGAGTCCCAAACTGTAATTTGAAAAGAAAAAAGGGGTAGAGTAGTAACATCCATAATGTCCTTTTGGGAAGAACAAGTTGCTTTAAAAATGTGTAGCGAAAAATAAAAGACCCGCTACGTTCGGGTTCGGGTCAAAACAGCCATTGTCGTTCTTTCTTTCCTTCCTTACTTCTGATTCAAATAAGAGAGAGAAGTAAGTAACTTTGAGCAGACAATAATAGCAGAAGCTAAGCTCCGCCACTTTCCATTACCGGAGAAATCTTTTTCAGTTCCAAACAATAGAAAAAATTATATAAAAAAAAAAAACCGTCTCTTTGTAACACAACATGTTGTGCAACAGTTGAGAGCAGTTGCATGTCCCCATAACTTCCTTTCTCATTTCCCGATCTTCGCATTAATCATACTCCTGGGATCTCACAAGCTTCCAACGAAACCAAAAACTCAGCTTGATCTACTTGTTTAAACGCACCGTCTCGTGTCGTTTTAGTTATAGCTCGAGATCTGTGTCTTCTTCTTGGCTTCTGAGCTATTGGCGGTGGTGGGTTTTGTCAGGGAAAAATCAAAGTTGGGGTCTTTTCTTTTTATTTTTATACTATTTTAAATGGGAGTTATCGGTGGGGTTGCTGGATAGTTCACAAAGTAATGAAGGAGTGGAAGATTAGGAGAGGCGGCTTTGAGGTCGGCGAGACAAAGATTGCGAGCTTATTTGGCTGATGTGTGCTCTGTAAGGAATAAGAAGAAAACTGTTTTTTTTTTTAATCTTCCTTAGGGTTTTTGGATTTGTGAAAAGATTTGGTTGGTGAATGGGTGGGGAGGTGGAGGGTAACAGTTAAAAAAAGTTAAAGCCTTTTGGTGTTTCCTTGTCATAATTACACTTGGGGCATCTTGAAAGCTTAGATCTTTGAAGAAACAAAGTTGGAAGTTTTCTTTTGTTGTTGTTTGCTTTTTTAGTTTTTTTTTTTTTTTTTTGAAAAAAATAAAGAAAGAAAGATGAGATTGTCTACAGCTGGGTTTAATCCTCAACCTCATGAAGGTATATGTTTTTTCTCTCTCTCTTTACTTGCAAATGTAGAAACTTTGGATTTTTGTTGGAGATTTTTAACTTAACTTGGGTTTGTGTGTAGTTACAGGAGAGAAGAGAGTTCTAAATTCAGAGCTGTGGCATGCTTGTGCTGGTCCTCTTGTCTCGTTACCTCCTGTTGGATCCAGAGTTGTGTATTTCCCTCAAGGTCACAGTGAACAGGTTTGTCTCCCTTCCTTCTCTTTTGCTTCTGGATTCTCTTGGTTACTTAACATTTTTGTGGGTTTTCAGGTCGCTGCTTCAACCAACAAAGAAGTGGATGCTCATATACCCAATTACCCGAGCTTGCATCCTCAGCTTATCTGTCAGCTTCACAATGTCACAATGCATGTGAGATACTTGTTCTTTGAGATACTTCTCCGAGTGTGTTTATTCTGTTAACCAAGATGATGATTTCTTTTAATTCCAGGCTGATGTGGAGACTGATGAAGTCTATGCACAAATGACTTTGCAACCGTTGAACGCTGTATGAGACTTTTTTTACCTGTAATCCATACTTTTACTCTCTTTTTTTTTGTCGGTGTTGTGAACTGTTTACTTGTTTTGAACACAGCAAGAGCAAAAAGATCCATACCTTCCGGCGGAGTTAGGTGTCCCGAGTAGACAGCCTACAAACTATTTCTGTAAAACTCTGACTGCTAGTGATACCAGCACTCATGGGGGTTTCTCTGTGCCTCGCCGAGCTGCTGAGAAAGTTTTCCCTCCCTTGGTAATAATTCATCTCCTCCTTACTCTGAACTTTTGTTTATACTTGTTTCTTACCACATGATTTTCTGTGTATTCCTCAGGATTACTCTCAGCAGCCTCCAGCTCAAGAGTTGATGGCGAGAGATCTTCACGATAACGAATGGAAGTTCAGGCATATTTTCCGAGGTTAGCTTTTTCACTTGATGAATTATTTAGTAATAACTGAAGAACAAAGAGGTTTTATTCACTCTGCTTTTGTTTCTCTCCTTTCAGGCCAACCCAAGAGACACCTCCTTACTACTGGTTGGAGCGTATTTGTGAGTGCTAAAAGACTTGTCGCTGGTGACTCTGTGCTTTTCATCTGGTTAGAATCACTTTTTCAGATATTGGTTTGCTAATAATGAAACTTGAGAATGGCTAATGTCTATTTTGTTGTTGACGCCAGGAACGATAAGAACCAGTTACTTCTTGGTATAAGACGAGCCAATCGTCCACAGACTGTCATGCCTTCATCTGTTTTGTCAAGTGACAGTATGCATTTAGGCCTTCTTGCTGCTGCTGCTCATGCTGCCGCTACTAATAGTCGCTTCACCATCTTCTATAACCCAAGGTACGGTTCTTGATCCCATATGAATGCAGCCAGCGACTTGACAATTGTTTGAATTTTTTTAAATATATTACTCTGCTTTTGTTCAGGGCAAGTCCTTCAGAGTTTGTAATACCCCTGGCTAAGTACGTGAAAGCTGTTTATCACACTCGTGTCTCTGTTGGCATGCGGTTTAGGATGTTGTTTGAAACTGAGGAATCAAGTGTTCGTAGGTATGTGAATTATCAATCTCCTATCTTTTACTCTGTATTCATAAGTGTCCTCAAGAACATTCGTTTGTTGTCAGGTACATGGGTACAATAACTGGCATTTGTGATCTTGATCCTACTCGTTGGGCTAATTCTCATTGGCGGTCCGTCAAGGTTCAGTTTATAAGCCGAACCTTTAGTGAATTATCTTTGCTTCCCCGTATACATATATGTCATCATCTTGATGATGTTGCAGGTTGGATGGGATGAGTCCACTGCAGGAGAGAGGCAACCGAGAGTTTCCTTGTGGGAGATTGAGCCTTTGACCACATTCCCAATGTATCCATCTCCTTTTCCACTCAGGCTTAAACGTCCATGGCCTCCAGGTCTTCCCTCTTTTCATGGTATAGTAACATTTCAACACTTGATTCATCCCTTGAAGTTTTATATCTTCTAATTTGCTGCCTCTTCTTTTCTTTTTGCAGGACTTAAAGATGATGATATGAGTATGGGCATGGGTATGGGTATGAGTTCGCCGCTTATGTGGGATCGAGGACTTCAGTCTCTAAACTTTCAAGGTATGGGAGTAAACCCGTGGATGCAGCCTAGGCTTGATGCTTCGGGCTTGCTTGGTATGCAAAACGACGTTTACCAAGCAATGGCTGCAGCTGCTCTTCAAGACATGAGAGGCATTGATCCCGCTAAAGCTGCAGCTTCACTTCTTCAGTTCCAAAACCCCTCTGGATTCGCAATGCAACCCCCTTCCTTGATGCAGCCACAGATACTACAGCAGCAACTCTCTCAGCAGCAGCAGCAGCAACAACTCTCTCAACAGCAGCAGCAGCAGCAGCAACAACTCTCTCAACAGCAGCAGCAGCAACAGTCTTATCTCGGCGTTCCTGAAACCCACCAGCCTCAATCTCAGTCAAACAATCTCCTTTCTCAGCAGCAGCAAGTGGTGGATAATCATAATCCGTCAGCAGCTTCCAGTGCTGCTGCTGTTTCTGCTATGTCTCAGTTTGGTTCTGCTTCTCAGTCAATCACGTTGCCACTCCAGTCCATGACTTCTCTTCAGAACTTCTCAGACACCAACGGAGGAAACAACAATCCTCTCTCTCCGCTCCACACTCTTCTCAGTAACTTCTCACAAGACGAGTCTTCTCAATTGCTCAACCTCACTAGAACAAACTCTGCAATGACTTCTTCTGGTTGGCCATCAAAGCGTCAAGCAGTTGATTCATCTTTCCAGCACCCTGGAGCAGCCGGTAACAACAACAACACTCAATCCGTAATGGAGCAAATGGGACAGTCCCACAACACAAGCAACGTTCCTCCAAGTGCTGTCTCATTGCCTCCATTCCCTGGTGGTAGAGAGTGCTCAATAGAGCAAGAAGGAAGCCCTTCAGACCCACATAGCCATCTTCTCTTTGGAGTCAATATAGATTCATCTTCCCTCTTGATGCCAAACGGATTGTCAAACCTTAGAAGCATTGGCATTGAAGGTGGTGACTCCACCGCTCTACCTTTCACAACATCTAACTTCAACAACGATTTCTCGGGTGGTAATCTTGCAATGACTACACCTTCTAGTTGTATAGACGAATCAGGTTTTCTACAATCCTCAGAAAACCTCGGTTCTGAGAACCAACAATCTAATACCTTTGTGAAGGTATAGTTTCTTTTTTCTTTCCCTCCTCAAGGTGTTGTTCTTTTTGTGCACATGATCTAATGGAAATGTTCTTTGCAGGTGTACAAGTCAGGGTCTTTTGGACGATCATTAGATATAACGAAGTTTAGCAGCTACCACGAGCTGCGTAGCGAGCTCGCTCGCATGTTTGGCCTTGAAGGCCAGTTAGAAGACCCTGTAAGATCAGGCTGGCAGCTTGTATTTGTTGACCGAGAGAACGATGTTCTTCTCCTCGGCGATGACCCTTGGCCGTAAGTTTTACTTCCCTCATTACCCACTTTCTATTACCATCCACTGGATCTAACGTTGTGGGTTTACTTTCATCTGACTACAGGGAGTTTGTGAGCAGCGTGTGGTGCATAAAGATACTGTCACCACAAGAAGTTCAGCAAATGGGGAAAAGAGGCCTTGAGCTTCTCAACTCAGCTCCATCCTCCAACAATGTCGAGAAGCTCCCGACCAACGGGAACTGCGATGACTTTGGGAACCGGTCAGACCCGAGGAACCTCGGCAACGGTATTGCATCCGTTGGGGGCTCGTTCAACTACTAGACAAGTAGAAACAAAACCCCTTTTTCTTGTTGTTCAAGTTATTTAAGTTTCATCTTATAAAATTAGTATTAATCCTCAGTCTAATCACTACTAGCTAAATTCTCTCTTTTATTACTTATAGAAAAAAGAGAGCTTTGAGTTGGCCTTTGTGGAGACAGAAACAAAAACTATGTAATAGATCTTATTATCTCTTATGTCGAAATACTGTAATTATAAGATCTTTTTGGTCCACTTTTCTTATATATGAATATTTGTTCTGATGTCATTATCTTTACTCACCACTTCTTCAATCAATTTTGATAATGAAGTGTTGTTTTGGAGCTATGTTAAGACTTTGTCTGACTGAATGGCCCCACGTAGAAAGTGATTTGGGTCCCAGTTCCCTTATTGGTTTTGTGTTTTAGTTTGTGTGAAACACTGAAATATTCCGACCCGCAATTTAGGGCTTTACCCGAAAATTACATCTTGTTTCGCGTCAGCACGAACCTTTCTTATGACACGTATCGATCCGTAGTTCGTACTCGTAGGCTAACTTTTTTGCTGCTAGGTCAATTAATATATGCCCTACCGTTTATAGTTTAGAGAAGCAACGATTTGGTCTTAGGTACGTAGTTAAAGTATAACGAGTATGAAACGAATTTTGTAGAATGGTTAAGCTTTACTTCGTTTGGGTTGTTTCCATGTTTTGAATATTAGAATATTATAACATGAATAGGTGACCGTGAATACCTTCAAATAAACAATGAGAAGACGAACGTTTTAATATTCAATCGAAATTGTAGTGAATTTGTAAATATTTTGCAAAATATCTTCTTTTTATGTGGTTTTAATTATTGAAATGTGATATTTGGTTAGCTATGAAATAATCATGATTGGAATAATTGAAGAACTTATGATTTGGGTTGGTGTTTGATTGTCCATTAGGAGAATGTAGTGATCAATTAATGAAAGAGCATGCTTTAAGTCAAATAAATAACAAATCTGATAAAGAGATATTTGTAAGTATATGGTTTTTGATGTGTGGTGTATGAATGTGATTCACATAATATCTTTAGTGGTGTGACGATATATTCTAAGTAAGAATTTGAGAATGGTTGAAAATAATGTTGGGTGCATGTGGTAGGGACATATGACATAAGTTAGGGCACTTTCATGAGCCCTAATTAAATAGTGTATGGTGACCCATCATTTTGAAAGTTCTCACCTATTCTTTTCTTTTTGACCTATTTTATGATTAATTCTCTTTTACTTTTAGAGTTTTTTTTCTCTTACAAAATCAACTATAGTTTTATTTTTAAAATAGGATGTTGTAGCCATTCATTAGGATGTAAAGAATAGATTCAAATGTAGATCTAAGAACATATAGCTTTTGTCTATCTACACATATATAATCATGTCTTTTCTAGATGTCATAACTATATATATTGTCAGTCTTAGGCCTCGATTAGTACATCAGATGATAAATCAGTAGCAGTATGCTGCAGAAGCAGTATGCTACAGAAGGGATTTATACTTCCATTAAATTTTTTAATAAAGTGATTGGTATAGCATTAGCAGTATACGATTTTAAAATTGTTATAATAGTTAATAAAATAATATATTTCTTTTAAAATAGTATATATATAATATATATTAATGATATATAATTTTATTAAAAATAATGAACTTTCATTATATAAATTTTATTTAAAAATATAAAATTGATTTTAAAAATATTAAATTATTTTTGGATATAAACATATTATCCATATATAAAATTATAATTATAATTTAATAATAATTAATTAAATTATAATTATTATTAAATTAATAAATTACTTAATTATATTTTATATATAAATTAATTATAATTTATAGATATTATTATTATTTATTTATTGGTAAAGCACTAAATCACTCATATATAAAATTATCATAAAAGTTAATATATAATTTATTTATTAGTGTCTAAATAATATGTTTATATCAATAATATATAAATTATATTATGTTATGTTTGTTATTAAAAATAATGAATGATATATGTAATTGTATAGATTATATTTTAAATGTGAAATATTGTTCTTTTAAAAAAAAATATTTATTTTTATTTTTTATTTTTAAAAATATAAATTTATATTTAGTTATATTTTTTAGATTATTAAAAGTAAATTAATTATATATAAATATTATTAAATTTTATATTTTCTATATTCAAATGCTCTCCCAAAAGCTCTATATGAGAGCATTGAGCAAAGAGCATTTGGAGAGAATTTGCATTTGGTAAATGCTTTTCTAAATGCTTTTTTGCCAAATATTGATTGGATAATAGAGATCATAATGTTTATGCTAATTCTCTACCAATCAACCCTTTAATGGAAATTTTCACGAGGGTAAATTGATTTCAAAGTATAACTAATTATTGTATTCATTGTTAAAGCATGCATAAATATTGTTGAATAGTGAGTTGAAAGTAATGATTAATGAGTAGGTTCGTGACAAATCAGGCAGAAAATGTCGTTTATATTAGAAGTAAATTGAGATAGAAAAAAGATTCCGAACGTGAAGCGAGTACGATTATCAAATTAATTTTGCTATATAATATATATCTATGTCGCTAAGAGCATCTTTAATCGGGGTGCTTATCCTCGGTTCTCGCTCCAAAAAGCCCAAAAAAAATCAAACACTCTTGTTTATGTTGCCTCCATAAGCACCTCATTTTCTGAGTTGTTTGCCCTGTTCTGTGGGTCCCACGACACGTGGCGATCCGCGATTGATCATTTTCAATTTCTTTTTTTTTTCTAAATTGATAAAAGCAACAAAAAAAAATAAGAACTCCAAAATAGGAGCTTGGGTTGATGGTGCTCTAAGTTTATCTCTTTAGAATCTTTCTCAATGAGTTTTCGAGGGAAAACTCGGTCCTTTACTCGGGTGATCTTTTACTTGGTCGACATAACTCTTTTTAATATAGCCATGGGGTAGTACAAATGGGACAAAATTAAGGTCTTCAATAAAGTCTTCAAAGGACCTTAGTGTGATGTAACCAAAATCGTGTGTAAAGCAATGTATAACAAGAATTCTTTTTTTATCTTATTAATTTTTCTTAACTTTCTTCTCTTTTTTCTTATTTTCTTTTATGAAATCATCTTACACTTATATATCTTTATATAGAGGTATTAGACATCTTAACTTTAATCTAATCACTACAAGAAATAAGGGTTTTAACAGCACCCGAAAATCGCTATCGTACGATACCATAGCGTTGTAGAAAGCGCTCCAACATCGCCCGCGATAATAGGTCGGGTCCATTAGATAGCGGTTTTTGTAAACGCGATTGATATAATTTTAGTAATAGCGTTTTTTATTATGCAATTGTAATTATTTTTAATAGCGTGTCAAAAATGTTATTATAACATTTTTACGACAGCAGTTTTAGAATTATATTATAGCATATTTTAACTACTATTGTAGTGTTCTATTAATAGCAATATTTGAATTTTTCATTGCATTTTTAAATGTAATTGTTTCATTTCTTTTATGACAAATTTAATTTAATATTTTATTTTGAAAACAATACAGAAAATTATAAAATAGGATTTCATTCAAATTAATATTATAACAAAATCAAAATATTCAAAAAACAAAAAAAAACTATAATCAAATCTCAACATTAATCCGCAACAATAATTCCATCACAGTCATCCCTAATACAAAAACTTTCATCATCAGACAATTGCAATGCATCATCAAATTCATGTGCTGGTAATGGTGGTCCGACAATGTCTTCCTCTGTCTCGAGTTCATGATATCCTCTTGGTGGTGCTCTCATAACGACATACCAAGGCGATTCTTCATCTTCTCTAGAGTAAAATACCTGTTTTGCTTGTGATGGTAGAATGTATGGATCTTGTAAATATGGCGCTTGGTTGACATGAAGATTGACAAGGGTGAAACCATCTTGTTCCTTAACACCGTAGCCTCTGTTCGCCCAATTACACTTGAATAAAGGAACGCTGAACATGTGGTAGTCGANCAGAAGATCGACACATGCTGAAAGCTTCATAAGTGACTCCACTATTCTGAGTCTTTCGCTTAACGGATTCTGTGTGAAATCGGTTCCCGTTAATGACAAAACCTTTATGGGTATGAGCAGTAAATCTTGGTCCATAGGCCAACCATCTCAGCTTCGTAGAATGATCCTTTGAGTTAGGAGGTATCTAATAAGGATGTAATTGTGTGAGTTATATGTGAACAGAAAAGTAAACAGATAGTGAAGTGTTACAAACCTTATTCTTCACCCATTCAGCGAATTGTTGGGTGTGATATTTCCATAACAAAGTTTCGTTTGTTGCGCATCGAGCATCATTTTCTTGCAGTTCTTGTAAATGCATCATGATTTGACAAAGTAGAGAGTTATAAGACTAATAAAAAGAATATGTATCTGAGAGGGATAGTAGAACTTACTCAACATAGGGATCCAAAGTTGCCATATTCATCAAAACATATCGATGTGCTATGTCTCTATCTTTCTCTGTTAGAATAAACTCTGTTCCCTTTTGCAGTGGTCGACCTTCAAGAACCATTCCATCAGACTGAAGATCTTCATTACGTTTTAGTGCTTCTTCAACTGGTACAGAATTCTTGAGGAACTCCAAACAAAAGGCCATGCATTCTCCAGCT